GCTGCACAGTGTACCCTGTAGTCCAGCTCAGTGAAGCACGGGGTATGGATGCCCATTTTACAGAAAAGAAGACAAAGTTGAGGGGTAGGAAGTAACTCTGCTAGGTGATACATACGGTTACTATGAACCCCAGCAGATGTGTCATCTGGACAGTCAGGAATTCCTGTGGTTGACCTCTGTCTTGTAGTCTGGGTGGTATGGCAGAACATTCTTCACAATGGATCTTGTATATTGACAAGCCAGAAACATATCCACTAGGTCATTAGTTGATTTGACTTAGCAATTTTTCAGCAAATAAAAGAGAAACAGACATTATATGTAATTTATGAGCAAAAGGAGAAGACATAGTAAGACACTTCTTGACAAATCCCATCTGCACTGAGTAAAGACCACATGGACTGGGCGCTAGTCACACTATTAGAACAACTTGTCGGCTAATTGTTGAAGTTTCTTCACACTCTGTTTCTGTAAGAGTAGCAGAAAAGCAATGGAACAGTGGCCAAATGAAATGTATAAAGCAAACATGAAACAAAACAATATATTCCATAGGCTCATCAGCTTCTCATTAGCTTTAATCTTATATCAAACACTTACCAGTAGCAAAGCAAACAAAAAGAAACTCTGTTCTCAGTCCCAGGAAGAATGCTCTCAGAGGATAGCACAACCCAGGACCAGCAGCCCAGTTAAGCTGCAGTCAGCCACAGGCAAGGCTGCCAGGTGAGCATTGAGAGGGATGGGAGTGATGTGAGCAGTGTGGGGGGCAGCTCAGGAAAGCTCACCTCATCTGCGTTTGACTTCGCCTTTCATCACTTAAACCCAACAGAACAAAGTACCTCCACGGGGCCTAATGGCTCATCCATCTCTCGCTTTCCTTCTTCCAACCCAATCCTTCTCTCGTTCACTTTTTCCAATCCCTCATGCTTCTTGTGTTTCCCTCTTCCAATCCTCATCCTTCTCTTGTTCTTCCAATCCCCATCCTTCTCTTGTTTCCTTCTTGCACTTCAGATCCCTTGCTGCATGTCTCTTCTTTGGTACAAATGCAAAGTTTATGTACAGATTCTTCTATGAAGATTCTCTTGCTGCAGATGTTGAGTGTCTTTCTGATATTCTGCGTGTGACCAAAGAATCCTGAAAGCCAACAGCGATCCTACGTCAGTAGCTGATATCAATGACTTCAGTCTGGTGTTTCTACAATGTAGTCCAATGTGACGTCAGCACAGTAATCCGCAACTCAATCTGCATATGTCTATATCTATGTGTAATTTATTTTGAGGCAGGGTCTCAAGTAGTCAGGCCCTGCTGCTTTGCACTTCAGATCCTCTTGCCTTCCCCTCCAGAATACTGGGTTATAGGAATGTGTTATCATGTCCCGTTGTGTGGTGCTGGGGTTGAACTAGGTAGGAACTCTCCCAACGGAATCACTTCCTCAACCTTATCTTTAGTCTCATTAAATTCATTTACTAGACTGTTTAAACAAACCTATTGCTATTAAGACCCGCAAATGCTTCATTTAAACGCACTGCTATTACTAGGGCTGCTGCATTTTAGAGAAATTGCAAGCGATCAATGGACTCATTAAAGATTTTTTTCAATGAGTCCTAATGCCATTATGCTATACCCAGATCAGTGCCGAAGCTTTTATAGTAGATGGACACCAACACTCGGACCCACAGCTGGACAGTGTGCAGAGAGTGAGAGACTTAGGAGTAATCAGTCCTAACTGGGACATCTCATTAAAGCTCTCCCCTCAGGGCTCAGGGATCTACGAGGAGGCAGATCAATCCTAAGAGCCTGAGAGAATGGATGACTCCATGGAAACAATCATTGTCCTAGAGATACAGAGTCTTCTGGATACAATGGTACAGGCGCACATATGAGCTCACAGACACAGGGGCGGCATGCAAAAGGCATGCGGAAGTTCCAGCCAGATATGGTCTTGGCACTGATAGGAGGAAATTGACACAGGCCCGCACCCCTAACTAAGACGTTATTTGCAATAGATTTCTATCTGCTGGCAAAGGGAAAACCAGTTTCCCAAAGGAGTCTCATTGAGCGATAATAAACCACACCTTGGGATAGGCTCCATGGCCAGGAGTTCTTGGCCAACACAGAATGAACTCCATGGCATTTTTTTTGTAAACTTTTTCTCTATCTTTTTTTTCTTAGTACGGAATTTTTTTTTGTTATCTTACATGTCTTTTGCTTATTTATTTTGATTTTTGTGGGTTTGGGGGTATGTTTCTTATTTTTTTTTGTTTTGGTTTTGTATTTTAAAAGAGAGGGAGATTTGATGCCCAGGGAACTCTGTGGAAGATGAGGAGGAAAAGGTGTAAGAGCCAAAGGGGATGGAGGACACGAAGGCTCCAAGGCTTTCTAGACACGACAGGGACTCCCGGAGACTCAGCAGCACACTCAGGGTCTGCGTGGCTCTGCACCGGATGGAGTCTTAGAGCTGAAAGAAGCGGACACAAGCCTGCATCCTTAACCTCAAAGCTGTCTTCAACCAATGACTGCCTACACATGAAAAATTAGCTTTTTTTCCAAAGGAGTGTCACTGGGGAAGCAAACTGCTTTTAAGGCCAGGCCCTAGAGCTAGTAGTGGACGGCCGAAGCAGAAGGAACTCAATGGCATTTTAGGAGGGTCTTTGTCTCATAATGTAAATCAGGGCTTTGCTTTTTTTTTAACCTTACAGGCCATTTGCATACACACACACACACACACACACACACACACACACACATATATGTTATATATATGTAATCTTCTGATTGTACCTTTTATTGGAGTCCTGTCTATATATGCTTCTTGTGCTTTTTCTTTGGCTCTTTTTCTTGTTTGGTTATTTTGTCTTACTCCACTTTTTTAAAATTTTGTTTTATGTCCTTATAGTTTCTTATTATTCCTTAGATGCTCATTTGTTTCCCAACAGGAGACAGAAAGGATATAAATCTGGATTGGGGGGTACACAATCAGCATATGTTATATGAGAAAAATCTGTTTTAAATAAAAGAGGAAAAATATATAGAGAAAAACAGACATGAAGTTGGGTGGGTGGGGAGGTGGGGAGGATGTGGGATTTGAGGAGAGGCAAACATGATCAAAATACGATGTGTAAAATTTTTTTCAATAAAAAAGCTTTAAAAGGAGTGCAGATCTAAACAGAGCATCCTCAACAGAACAATCTCAAAAGACAGAAAGACTCTTAAGGAAATGCTCAACATCCTTAGTCATCAAGGAAATGCAAATCAAAACTACTCTGGGATTCCATCTTACACTAATTAGAATGACTAAGATAAATAACACCAATGACAGCTTATGCTGGAGAGGATGTGGAGAAAAGGGAACACTCCTCCATTGCTGTACAAACTTGTACAGCCACTGTGGAAATCAGTATGGCTATTTCTCAGAAAATTAGGGTTCAGCTTACCTCAAGACCTTGCAATACCACTGTTGGGCATATACCCGAAGGAGGCACAGTCATACCACAAGGACATTTGCTCAACTATGTTCATAGCAGCATTATTTGTAATAGCCAGATCTTGGAAACAACCTAGATGCCCCTCAACTGAAGAATGGATAAAGAAAATGTGGTACATTTACACAATGGAGTACTATTCAGCATTAAGAAACAATGACATCCTAAACTTCTCAGACAAATGGGCAGAACTAGAATAAACCATCCTGAGTGAGGTAACCCAAAACCAGAAAGACAAATAAAGTATGTACTCACTCATAAGTGGATACCAGACTTAAAGCAAAAGATACCCAGCCTACAATCCACAACCCCACAGAAGCTAGAACCCTCTTCCAGAAACAGATGGAAGCAGATGCAGAAATCCACAGCTAGCCAATGGCCCAACCTCCTGTAGTACAATCGAAGTGAGGGAGGAGTGATAGTATGAACAAAGGAATCAAGACCATGATGGGGAAACCCACAGAATCAGCTGACCTGAGCTAGAGAGAGATCACTGACTCAGATCTGACAATTGGAGACCTGCATAAGAGTGAACTAGACTCCCTTGTTATCGGTGACAATGGTGCAGCTGGGACAATATATGAGGTCACTGGCAGTGGGTTCAAGATATAACTCTAATTCACAGACTGACTTAGTGGAGCCCATTCTGAATGGAGAGATTCCTTACCCAGCCTAGACACAGGGTGTATGTGGGGGTGAAGAGGAGCCTTTGTCCCTCTTCAATTAGATGATGGGACAGACTTAGTAGACTTCCTAGGAGAGGCCTTACCCTCTTTGAGGAGCAGATAGGAAGTTGGTGGGGGGAGGAGTGGGAGGAGAAGAGGGAGGGGGAACTGGGATTAGAATGTAAATAAAACAATTTAAAAAAGAAAAAATATTTTGAAGTTCTCATACAAATAATGGGTTTCAACATGGTGTGTGAGTCAACATATTTTGTTCTATTATTTTCCTAAGTTAAATCAGGCTTATGTACTTAGCATAAAACTTGATTGGCCATTTCATTTTTTCTAATAAAAATATTATTGCCATGTTCATTTATTTAAAAAAGTTTTAAAAATGATCTTTTTGAGACAGTGTCTCACTCACTATGCAGCCTAGGCTAGCCCCAAGTCAAGACTCTCCTGCTTCAGTCTTCTGAGTCCTGTGTTTATAGTTGTACAGCTCTGTACTTGGCATCATTATAGTCAAGGCTAGAATTTTACCATAGCTAACGTTCACATGAAAATAGAAGGCGTTTTGATACCCGATCCAGCTTCACAGTTATCCACAGAGATGTACTGGTCTTTCTTTTATGATAATATTAAAGTCTCCTAAGATTAGTCCCAAAATTGACCAAACAAAGCATTTTCATCATAAATAGATATTTTAAAGCCCCTCCTTGTACTTGTGTGTTTACAACTGACAGACTCACAAATCTGACTGATGGAAATAGCAAGGTAAACTTCCAGAATCCTCGGAGGTCAGGGGTCAAAACATAAATGCTCGGTGTGAATAAGTAGCTCAAGGACCTTAATTAACCTCTTTGACTCTCCGACTTTTTATAGTTTGAGAGCAGTCTACATTTAAAAGCTGTTTGTGCAGATCAGCTTGAGGTGGTGCTGACGGCGTTTCTGTCACTTGCTGAAATGAATGACGGGCAGACATGATGTCACCTGAAAGTCATAGAGTGTGGCAGGTAACTCAAAGAGCCCAGCACTACCCTAGTCCTGGGTGCCCTGGGGGTTTGCAGAGTTCACATTGGCATGTTTAAATGGGCGTGAGCTTTTCTAAACTCACTTCCGGAGTTGGTTTACATTGTCAAGATTTTTTTTTAAACTAAAAAACACAAAAGACTTAGTGCAGTTGAAAAGCTGATCAGCATCCTTCAACCTAGTTTTGTTAGGTAAGAGAACGGAAAGCTAATGTTTGAGAGATCGGAAAACGGTTGCGTAGGCGATCCTTCCGTGGTTACAGTGGTCTGCGTGCTCTTGGAAACTACGACTTGACCCTGGGGAATCTGACTGACAGCTGATGTAGAAGAGTCCTTCTCCCCACAATCCCAAACACGTATGCTGCATATGACAGCAATTCGTGACACCGAAGAGATTCGGAGCAAGTTGAGGAAAGAAATGAAAAAGGGTTCTGATCCGGGGTGGGCTCATGGAGATGCACTCTGCAGGAAAGCCCCCCCCCCCCATCTTGGGTTAAAAGTCTGCTACTCAGGGGCTGCAACCGCTCCTGTCCGAAGAGTCTCAAGCGCCCAGCAGTCTGGGCTTCCCCTGGCTTCTGCTGCATTTCTCTGATCTCTCTCTCTGTCTCTCTCTCTGTCTCTCTCTGTCTCTCTCTCTGTCTCTCTCTCTCTCTCTCTCTCTCTCTCTCTCTCTGTCTCTGTCTCTCTCTCTGTCTCTCTCTCTCTCTCTCTCTCTCTCTCTCTCTGTCTCTCTGTCTCTCTCTCTCTGTGTCTGTCTGCCAAATTTTCTTAAATAAAGTTCTATTGGGTCAGGGTCCCACCCAACTCCAGTGTAGGTCTATCCTTTACCTTGTCTGCCAGGATCCTATCTCCAAGTTCACACTCTGAGACAATAGGGCTATAATTTTAACATATCCATAGTGGTGGTGTTGGGGTCCCAACACATCACAAACTCCAAATATAAAATAACAGTTTTAAGAATTTTTTCAGTTTTATTAGAAAAGGAGAATGATTAGAAATTGTCTAAAGTCTCCATTCTGTTCATAACCAGACTGATGTACAAATGTGAGGGCATCATTCCAGAGGCCATGCACCAAAACCACACCAGCGGCATGCAAACAGCTCCCTCTCAGCAGCTACAAAGGCGTGGGCCTGGTTCATTCCAGACGCCTAGGATTCTCGCTTGCTGGCACAGAGCTGAACGAGCAGGCGTCTCTTCACCGTATGTGTCCAGTCGTAGCGTGCCAGAGTTCTCAGAATGCAATACTGCTTTCCAGTGTGCTGGTATCAGGCCAGAGCAGACTGTGCCGTGTGTGGGAGGGACTCGCATTAGTTCCTCAGAGTTCCAGTGGATAAAGCCAGACAGCTAATCTTTGCTTGCCATTTCACGAGTTGGCCAAACTCCTGGTTTTGCTCCTTTTGTGACAGCTTGTTAGCAACAAGTTGAATTTTTACGTTCTCAAGCTCTCTCCCCCATCCCCTGTCTGTCTCTAGAGACCTGTGGCTGGTTTTTTTTTTTTATCTTACTTGTTATTAATTGTTAATTCTTAAATATCTGACCTAATATTTTAAGACATTTTGTGATTATTGCTTTTGGTTGTAGAATTCTCCTTTGGAATAAGATGAAAAATAGGCAAAAGGGAAATTTCTGTCATAGAAACGTTTGTGTCTACAGGAAGGACGCAAAATTGAGTGGAATTCTTTAGTGTGTAAAGTTTCTCAGAGAGCAGGGTCACACAGGGGAAGAGGACCACCAGCCATACAGGAACCCAGCGTCTCTCTAGTGGGCGCGTCAACGCCACGGACTCAGTCTCCTGTGGACGCTTGGGCTCCCCGCACCACGGATTTCATCTCTATTCATCCTCTCCTTTTCTCTTGAATCTGTTCAGGAAAAATAATATGGCCATGAGGAGCAAGAACAAAATTAAACACCAGCTGAAGAGTGGGTATAAGCCCGGCCGTCCCACAAACCATACACAATGTGGCTGCGGATGGGTAGGCTAGAGGGCTCTCAGGCTACTGGGATTCAGATACAAATGACGCAATCAAAGGCACTTCCTTTTCAGAGGTACAGTGTCTTCCACAGGGCCCGGAGAGACCCTCAGACCCACCCTCTGCCCCGCTGGGAAAAGAACGCTCTTTTGTGTGGGTGGCCAGGGTGGCTGCTTGGGGGCATTAAATTCTCACGGTGCTCCGCAGAGGGATTCGTGCACATGGCTGCTACAGTTATCGCTGGGTTTCAGTGATCATTACTCTGTGCTAACCACAGGCTATTGTAATTGCTCTTAGGATGGCCAATCCGAAGGACAAGCCACCAATGTGGCGGGCAAGCTGAGCCTGGCAGAAACGTGTTTTCCGTAGAGGCATATAACAAGTCACGACAGCCAGTTGCAATGAATAATCTGAAGTAAACTCACTCCTACCTGCCACACCTGGGAGGGTCCCAAAAGCACAGTCCAAGAGCAATTCCGGATGTAGAAGAAACTGAGGACACTTGTCTTGTTTTTCCGGAGTTTTCTCACAAGCACCCAGAGATCTCACAGGGCTCCGTTCTTGGACTGCACTCTGACAGGCGTCTCAGCAAGGGCCGAGGGCCACTGCCTTGCTATGGGGAGCACTGCCTTGCTATGGGGAGCACTGCCTTGCTATGGGGAGCACTGCCTTGCTGTGGGGAGCACTGCCTTGCTGTGGGGAGCACTGCCTTGCTGTGGGGAGGACTGCCTTGCTGTGGGGACGACTGCCTTGCTAGGGGGAGCATGCCTTGCTAGGGGGAGCATGCCTTGCTGTGGGGAGCACTGCCTTGCTGTGGGGAGCACTGCCTTGCTATGGGGAGCATGCCTTGCTGTGGGGACCACTGCCTTGCTGTGGGGAGCACTGTCTTGCTGTGGGGAGCACTGCCTTGCTGTGGGGAGCACTGCCTTGCTGTGGGGAGCACTGACTTGCTGTGGGGAGCACGCCCTTCCTGAGGCTAGCAGTCACTGATCATTGTTAACACAAGGGGTTGTGAGGATGCTATCCACAGATCTTCTGACACTGTCAAACCAAGTGAAACATTCCACATGAACTTCGTTGTTTCGGAAAAAACAAAACAAAACAAAACAAAACAAAACAAAAAAACACCACCAGTTAACTGACTGCAAACAGATGCTGTGAGGGCTGAAAGACCAGACCTGATCTGGTTTGGAATACTTAATGAGAAAGTAAGTGACCTTCGTCTATGCTTCTCAAAGACAGTCGAGGAATATCAAATGTCCTTCATTTCAGTCTGATTTTAGTCCGTTAGTTGGCAAAGTGTCTTTAGCTTGATATGAATATAATTGGTTCAATTGTCAATTACATTAGGCTTAAAAGTGTGTTCCAAGTACAAGATCACATTGCATACTCCTTGTAGTTTTGTAAAAAACAAAAACAAAAAAACAACAAAAAAACCTTTAATTTGAACAACTCCGTTGGATTATAATATTGAAAAAAACTACTTAGCACAAAAATTGCCTTTACGGTAGCTAACGTTTCCAGTTAATAAGGTTCCCTGGCAGGGTCAGAAAGCATGATTAGTCTCTGAAACAGGCTAGCGACTTTTATTATGAAGTGTTATTATTACAATTTTTGTTAAATAGTTTTTATATTCTGAGCCAGAAAAGTAAGTAGTTCTATTGTAAACATTTTATACTTATTTTTGTCTGGTAGTTCCTGTTTCAAATAAGAAAGGAAAGCGATATTTCTCTGAGCCTTGTGCTGTTCAAAACTCATGAAGTCTGTTGCCTCTGACTACAGAGATGGAAAACAAACAAACAAACAAAAACTTTTTTCCTTCAGTTTAGAAAGGCAGTCTGCCTTTCTGGACTTCAGTGTTACCGGTGGTTGCACGCCAGGTGTTGCTCTTGGGAAATGAAGGCATTGATTAGCAGAGTTTGGCATTGGGGGGGCAACGGCAAGGCCCTGAGCTGTTTGCACGTGTGCAGACCACTGTTCAGGTGAGCCCCTCACTGTCAGCTCCCAAGAGGTAGTTTTGCAGAACACGTCACTGGAGAGCATCCTTTCCATCAGCCTCCCACCTTGGAATCCTGGGATACTGACTGCTTGAATCTCTTTCCTTACAGTGTATTTTTCCAGGGTCTTGGGGTTGCCATTGTTGGTTTGCGTTTAACTATTAGATATCCATCTCTTTTGGTTTGAAAGAACAATATAATCGGAAATTAAGCATCTAGCCAACAAGACAAGGGCGATCTACCAACACATTGTTAATTTCCTTCTAAGAAGTTGTGACAGCAATAACAAAAGATAAAAAATTTCCTCATTCATTGACTTGGGGATAGAAACCACAGAGGCAGCAAAAATGCAAGGAGACAGGGACAGTGACAGAACAAACCTCTGATTATTGATCATCACTTTCACCTTGATTAAGAATCACCTACACAATTGGCTATGCGCTACTCTGCCTGGATTTCTGAGTGCATTTCTAGAAATGATTAATTAAAAGAGGAGGGCCCACCAAAATATGTGTGAGGCCATACCACGGACTGGGGGACTGGACTGATCACAGACAGGAGGCTCTTTTGGTTCTATTAGGCTATTAAGGTGCTGTCTTACCTTTGTTTCTTGTTGCTGTGATAAAATACCCTGACAGAAGCAATGTATGGGAGAAAGGTTTTAACTGACTCCAAGTTCCAGGTGCCATCCATCCCTGTGGGGAAGTCACAGCAGCAGGAAGTCGAAGGGGTTAATGGCATTGCATCCACGGTCAAGAGCAGAGGGCAGTGAATTGATGCATACAGGCTAGTGCTCAGATAGTCTTCCTCACTCTTACACAGCTGAGGATCCTCTGCCTATGGAATGATGCTGCCTACAGTGGCCAGGTTTTCCTGTCTCAATTACCATAATCAAGGTAATTCCCACAGACACATCCTCAGGCCAACCTGGTCCATACAATCTCTGTCATCCTAGGTGATGGTTGATTGTGAAAACTTTACAATGAAAACTAACCACCTCAGGGACAGTAACCCAAATTGTCCTAAAAGTTCTTTCCAGTTGAGAGCATTTAATGGGTACTGAGCTAATTCTTCAATTGTACTAATAAAAATTGCCACGCTCATACCTATGATTTTGCATTTATCTTGAGCTTCTTTTACTGGCTTGAGAGAGTTAGGACAACAGTTTCCCACCCTGGCAAGCTCTAGTCTCTCATTCCCTTGACGATTCTCCTTGTAAATGGAACGGAGCCCTTTCTAATGTCAAGTTCCCATAGTCCTTTTGATCTAATGATCACCGGCAATTTTCCACACTTTGCCTGGAGATCAGTTCCACGACTTCATCAGTGTATCTATCATGCCTATGTGAGTTATCACCTTTCCCACTTCAATCCCTTGCCATAAGAGTCTCTGAGCCACTTTTCCAGCCTCTGCCCGATACCCTCACCTGCAGCCAATTGTACCTATGTTCCGTTTGTGCTTGAACCCCTCCTGTTTCCATCTCCTGAGTGCTGGGACAGGCACGTTCCACTATCCCATGACCATAATGGTGGTGTGTAACAAGCAACCACAATTTATTTGCTCAAAGCAACAAGAAATTATTGAGTTTGTGACTCTGTGAGTGAATCAGCTTGGTGTTTTGCTCTTACATGCCCAGATAATGATGGTGTGCTGGTCAATCTAGTAAGATTCATCGGAGACTATTGGGAAGACCAGGCAATGCTCTGTCCTCACGCATTCTTCAGTAGGTCAACTAGGTATTTCTCATGGCAAAGTTCAATGATGAGAAGGACAGACGTACAAATGTATTTCTCCAGTATATGTGTTTTAAAAGTGGGAGACTATTTGGGAAGGAGAAGGGCACTAAAGGGAGGGGAAGGAGGAGTGAGAGAGGGTATTGGAAGAGTAAAAGGAAAGGCAGGTATAGTCTATTTCTCACATGTGCTTGCTGCATAAGCCTGGAGACCCGAGTTCAATCCCCGGAGCCACAGTGGAAAGAGAGCTCCAAATCCCGGAAGGTGTCGTCTGAGACCCACAGGCCCCATGGCCCAGGTGCAGCAGCACACATGCACTCACACAGTGACTGATGATGACAATGATGATAACAACTATCACATAGTAGTTATTAAAACAAATGATGGTTATGGATCCACAAACTTGCATCACACAAAGGAAAAGAACAATTTGATTCCATCAAAATTCAAACTATCTATGTTTGGAATTTGAAAACCAACAAATAAGAAAGAAAATGTAACTGCTTCACCCAAAGCAAACAATAGGCTGTTTTTACATCAGGGAAAATCAAGCAAAGATTATAAGTGGGCAAACTCTCAAAGAAGGATTTCAGATAATCACTAAATGCAGAGCTACATTCAACCCTGTGTGGTGGAGAAATGCTACTTAAATTACAGTGAGACTTTGCATAGACTTGATTTAGAAAACTTACAGTTTAAAAACAGTGAGTGCTGGGGCTGGAGAGATGGCTTAGTGATTAAGAGCACTTGCTGCCCTTCCAGACAATCTATGTTCCCAACACCCACACCAGGAGCTCACAATCACCTACCACTTCTGCTCCAGGGGGCCAAACTCCCCGCCCCCCTTTCAGCCTCTACACAGACAGACACATGGATAAAGAATACAACTGTACCTTTAAAAGATACCAAGTGTGCCTGGTGATAGTGGCACATGCCTTTAATCACAGCACTTGGGAGGCAGAGGCAAGTGAATCTCTGAGTTTGGGCCCAGCCTAGTGTACAGAGAGTTCCAGGGTGGCCAGAGTTATACATAGAAACCCTGCCTCAAAAGACAACAAAACAAAACGAAAAAGAAGATAAAAAATATTGAGTGTTACGAAAATCAGTGTGGGAGTTCTTCAGAGATGGGAATCTGTCTACCTCAAGATCCAGCTGTACCACTCTGGCGTAGACCCAAAGGATGCTCTGTTCTACCACAGACACACTTGCTCAACCATGTTCATTGCTGAACTAGTCATAATAGCCAGAAACTGGAAACAGCCTAGATATCACTCAATAGATGAATGGATTAAAAAGCATGGTATTTTACATAGTAGAATATTTCTCAGCCCTTAAAAAATATGGGACCATGAAATTCAGAGATAAATGGACAGAACTAGAAAAAAATCATTCTGAGTGAGGTAACCCAGACCCAGAAAGACAAATACATTATATATCTGTTTATATGTGGATATAAGCTGTTAAATCAATGATAACCAAGTTACAATCAATAGAACCACAGAGAGTAGGTATAGAGTAAGGGGCTAATGGGAGAGATGGATCGCCCTAGGAAGGGGAAATAGAATAGAGAGCTATGGATGGATGGGGTGGACTTGAACAGGAGGATCAAGTGAGGAGGGAGCAGTAAGAGGAAAACACAGGAGGGAATGCTGGAAGAGACAGCTAAAATTAAGGGCTATTGGATGGGTAATATGGAAACCTAATACAGTAGAAGCTTCCTAGCATATATGCCTATGAGAATGAAATCTAAATGAAATCACCAAAATGTGGGAGACAGAGCCCCTGGTGGACATCTCTTATCGCCAATTGAAGCTTCCAGGACTGGCATTGGGTTACAGCTAAATTGCTTATTGGCCAAAGCGATCCCATGGGAACCCTTCAACAACCCAGGCTGTTGCTAAGATTATAGGTTACTCTCTGCAAACACACAGCAAGGCCCTATTGCTGACGACAACACCACACCTACAGAGCCTACACCACTACTGACTAGTGCTCTAAGTACAGGAAGGCACTCTGCAGGCTGCCAAAAGAGAAAGGCCAGTGCCTTGCTCAGCCATCATCGGAGAAACTTCCTCCTGCAGCAGATGGGAACAAATACAGAGACAGACAATAAGCAGAGAGTGAGAGACCTCAGGACAGCCAGTCTCCATCAAATCTCTCCCCTTAGGGAACTCTGCAGAAGAGTTGGAAAAGGAGGGATGGGGAAAGCAAGAAGCCAAGAAATTCTTCTGAACACAGCCAGACGAGACAATGGCCCCATGCTCAGGGCCTGCACAGGTCTGCACCAGATGGCGCCCTAGTGCAGAAGGGAGAAGTGGACTCACTCCCCAACCTTACCCAGAAGCTGTCTCCATCTGACAGCCACTTGCAGATGAAAATTTGCTTTTCTCCAAGGGAGTCTCAATGGAGAAACAAACTGTTCTTAAGGATGGCCCCATGTTCAGCAGCGGTGGCTGACTAGAAAACTCAACGGCATCTTTGAGACAAGGCATCTGAGACATTCCTTTTCTCACAATGTCAAGTCAGGGTATATTTTTTCTATCGTAATTAATTTTTATTAATTAATTTATTTTTTACCACTCAGGTCCTTTCCATATACATCATGGCTTCCGGTTTTGTGTCCTTATGGGGTGAGTGTGTGAACAAGCGGGTCTTTTGCATTTTTGTCTGTTTCTTGTGCCTTTATCTTGGAATCTTTTCCTTCTGCTTGTTTGGTTTGTCCTATTCGGATTTGTTTGGTTTTATCTTATTATACTTCATTATGATCCCTTAGATGTCTTCTTTTTTCTAATGGGAGGCAGAAAGGGGGAGGATCTGGCTGGGATGGGAGACCGTAGGAAAAGGCTGTCTTCAAAGACTTCCGACAGATGACAACAGTATAATAACGCACCTTCAACAGCATAATTAGTTACTATTCAGTAACAGGAAATAGCTGCTACGGTTTGGCAGGTGACGGAGTAGTATGGCTCCCTAGGGCTTGATCATCAGGGTGACGAAGTGGTGGGACCTCGGAGAGGCCAGGCCCTCGGAGAGTTGATGGAGATGTTGTTGTAGTCACAAAGTATGCATGCAGGCTTCCTAAGATCCTAATCAGTTCTTGATAAGGCATGGCCTTTGAGCTACCCTCTGGCTTCCCACCTCACTGGGAGCACTCTCCTGGATCCACTCCTCAAGCCATAAGCATTTGCCATGAGGACTCCACCAGAACTGAGCTGGTGTTGTCTGAGTTCTCGGGAGTGCAGTGTGTGTGTGTGGAGAGCAGAACATAAAGCCCTCTTTCGTTTATACTCAGCCTCCTCAGGCATTACTTTCCATCATAAGAAAATGACTAATACGTACAGAGTGTTAACTAACTTGATTGTGGTTATAATTTCATGGTATCTATGAATATCATAGCTTTAGTTTACGTATCTTGGATATATACATATAATATATACAGTTTCAATTTTCAGTTATACCTCAGTTAAGTTAGAAGAAAGTAGCTTTCCTTAAAATGAGGTATAAAACTGTTGAATTTTCTACTTTAATCTCGATGTATTTATTTTATAAAAATGTCTCTAAGATGGATTTTAGTATATTAGAATATCCATGTTGTAGATACTACAGAACTTGACAATTTTAATTAAAATATGATTATATCATTTCTCCCCCCTTTTCTCCCATCCTGCCCCTCTTAATTTCCCCTCTCCAACTTCCTTTTCTTTACCAATTCTTATTTATTCATTTGGACATGGGTAGAACCCAGTTATGGCTAAATTTCAGGGTATATTCTCTTTCTCCCTTCTTACTGATTAATTTTCTTCTTTGATAATTTCATGTGTATATCCCATTTGCCCCTCCCAGTCACTACCCAACTATTTCCTAGATTAATGACTTCTGGTTTTTCTCTGTGACCCATTTGGTTTGCCAGGATTGTAACTATCCATTGGCTTGGTGTGGTCACTAGTGTGTATACAAGGCCATGACTCCCATGCTCTCTGGATCTATCGGTAGCAGGTAGTCCAGGAGTGAGGGGTAGGGCTCCTTGGACGCCTCCCGCATCCATGTCTGGCTGTTGATGGGATCATTCTCGTGCAGAACAAGTGCAGGCACCCACAAGTGACTGTCGCGGTGTGTCTTGCCCAGAAGGTGACATTTTGAAGCTCCTGAGTCTGGACTCATTCTTAATTTTCAGGTTTGAGATCCCTGGGCCAGGTAGATCTCAAGGCACCATGCCCTGCAGGGTTGTACTTGCTGGAGGTGAAGTGGACTGTCCTTTTCATGTCACGAGGATTTCACTGCGTCCCCTCTTTCTGTGACTGCATCTTTTACTGAGCTCCCCTTGGATTTGAATAATTTATGGGATTCCCACACAGGGTGATGGGGTCTTATGACATCTTCTGATGAGGCAATGGATGGTGAGAAG